ACACTCGACCGTTGGAAATACTGGACATGTGCCCAGTATGAAGTTTATCTGCCGGAGCTTGTCCCAGGCTGCAGGAATCGTCTGCAGAGGCAAAAGTCTCATAGGGCATCGCCCCTTGAGAAAGATCTTGAAGGGAGGAGCTTATCTTTTCGCCTCCACTGCAAACTCTTTTTTCTTTTCCAGGCGAACATTTGCTCCATTTGCTTGGAGACCCCGAAAGGAGGTTCGCCTTCTGCCTTCTCAGGCGAGGGGGATCTGGGCCCCTCTGTTTCCTGATCCGGCTGAGGTGAGTTGTTTGGGGTAGGAATAGTCCTACGCTCCTTAGTTTCCTCCTCCTTAGGAGAAGGATCGGGATGGTTTGATCCATCCTCGTCATTGGGTTTATTACTTTTTTGGTCCATATAATGATACCACGAGTAGCAGGGGAAAGAAACGACCATCACGGCAGAGCCCCGCAATATCGTGACTAGGCATTTATGAACTGAGAGGTCGCCCGGTATCCCAGGTTAGTCGCTAGTGGTCGGGTTTCCCCCGACCATCCATCCCTTTGGCGCGCACTATACCGTAGGATTTGGGGAGGTTTTTATAGTGGTACCTCATCCACGCGGCTCAGACAGTAAAAAGGGGCCCCCCAAAAGCCCCCCCACCATAAACTTAGTTTCCCCTCCTCTCCTAAGAGAGACTTACGGTATGACGGACGTTAAGTCCCGTAGGAGGTCCCGTCCGGCATCGTTTTTATGTCTTGATGCAGTTCCCTGGCCACGACACTAGTACAGCCAGGGACAAGACATTGAGATGCTCCTCAGACCCATCTAAAATGCCAGGGTGAATTCCCCCTAGCATTTGACCAAGAGCTTCCCCACCAACAAAGGTCTCGCATCTCCTAAATAAATAAAAAAATAGTTTTATTTGTCATTTTTATTTGACAAAAAACAAATAAAAACAAATAATTAATCACTAGTATTAATTACAATATAAAAACATTTTAAAAAAAGTTTTTCAACGCTTTCCGGAAAAAATACGGAACTTTTTAAGCTAACCTTCTAGAAAAGAGTTGCATTCACATCAGCAAAAATGTCGCTATTATTAAGAGCATTCGTCAGCTCGGCTACCAACATTCTCCCGCAGTTTTGGCGTTAGCTTCTTCTATCCCTAATTTCTAAATAAAAGTGTCTCTAAGAATCAATCATCTTTGCAAGGAATTAATCTTCCATCTAGGTAAATATGAAATTTACCGACAGTGAATTTGCTTTCCCCTTCTGCGATCAGGAAGGGTAATAATAGGCTGCCAGGTACAATTTCAATCTCACTATCTGGTAGAAGTTGAATCTGAAAAATAAAAAATACCCATTTTATGTTTTATAGTTTAAAAAAAAAAAAAAATTTCAACAAAAAATAAATATTTTCTCAAACTTTGATCGAAGTCCGAAACATTAATTAATTAGAAAAAAGTAGAAAAGGTGTGAAAAACCGCACGTCGATATAATTTTTCGTTTTCGACTAATAAGCAGTTAAAATGTGTCAGTTTATAGATGCACCCTGTATTTAGACAGTTTAAAAAATTGGCACCCAGTATTATTTACCTATTTTCATTCAGTGAATTACACACAAAACATGATTATTTCCTTCCAAAATAGAATTAATTGCTTTTCAAATTTCGTACAAAAAACAAATTAATATTCCGAAGTTCATTTCCACTTAAGTGAGTGAATAAAAACAATTTAGTGGACAAAAACATCAATATGATTTGGTTCTAACTCATTTTTTAGTTTTAAATACCCTATATTGAAGTAAAATGGAAAATATTCGGTACCTACTTCAGACGACGACTACGAGGTAGTAAAATACCGCCATATTATATGTGCAAATGCCCCAGTTCAGGAATGCGATAGACTAGATTTTATAAGATCAAAGATGCGAAAAAACTTTAATTAAAAAAAAAAAAAAAAAAAAAACTGATTTTTATATATCTATCTCTATTATAGGGGCAGAAGAAATATAGTAAAAATCATTTAGACACCACGTGCCCATTTAACATGAAACTAAAAAACTAAAAAAAAAAAAAAAAAAAAAAAAAAAAAAAAAAAAATAAAATAAATATGAAAATAATTAAGGTAGGTGGTCTACTTACCGATATTCAGAAACTCCTCCTTCTTTTCCAATTGTTTTGACCTTGGCATCTTCAAAGGGACAAGACAACCACGACTCGACAACAGAATAATTAAAAAACTAAGAAACAGGGAATACTTATTCGGTATCGAAGAAGCGCGTATGACGTATGATTAGTAATGAGCAAAAATACTCTAAACGGGAGAATTTCACTCAAAGTTTTGTTATTGTGTTAATAAACTATAACATTGAGTTTTTAGTGAATTTTTCTATTCCCTTACTCAAAGATGGGGGTTATAACTCGAACATGAGCTTATTCAATCGCCTATTATTAAAATAGAGGATCAATATTGAGTAAAGATGATGAACCTTTAAACTCTTATTTTTAAGATGAAAATGGTACTCAATTATTCTCACGTCAAAAAATTCACATCCCTGAGAAATATGTGTTAACTCAGGCTGATTTTTTACAGTGTAAGACAAAAACCCTGCAAACACACATCCAAAAATGGAAACCCTGTACAGACGTACTGCCAAATCAAGAAATCATCTACGAATGAAATCCAAGATCGATTTATATATTTTTATAATATTTCAAATATTTTTTTTTTGTGTTTTGTGATATATTCCTATTGCTACTTCGTCGCAAAAAACTGACAGTACGGGGAAGGAGCGTTTCGAGGAAGTAAATGGACGAAGGAGCGAAGGGACGAAGGAACACACAGTCGCATAAAATCGACATTTTCCCATAGTATATATAAGATTTTTGGACGAAGGGACGCGACGAAGGAAGGAAGTGAAGTAGCGAAGTGTGAGTATGGGGCCCTTTTTAAAGAAAAAAAAACCTTTTTTTTTTTTATTTATCTTTAAAATACGGAAAAATTTTGAAAAAAAAATTTGCAGGTCCAATATTAAAACAGGTCAATAATAAATAAAAAATCTAAATCAATATTTATATTTTATAGCTATAAAACAACAAATGTCACGATTACTTGTTGTCTTGTTTTTTCATGTTTTCTTTAAATGTCCCTGACTTTAAGAAACAATGCTGCATGATAAGTTTAAACTGTCCTAAAAAGTCATTCTATTAAGTTAATGAAATTTATTACCTTTACAGAACTAACTCCATGCTTTGGATGTAAATACAAAATATTATTACAAATTTTAGAAATTAAATGAGAATTTCACTCGAACTTCCAATATTTGCTTCACTTCTGTCACATAAATGACATTGATTGACAAACAAAACCAGAAAAATCAGCCTTCTCGCGCTGGTTAGTTTGGTGACAGTTATAACCATAGACAAACAAATAAAAAGAGACTCGCAACTCAGAACGCAAAATTTCGTTCTATTTATGTTGATCTGCGCATTCCGTCTATTGGGTCCACTATCTCATTCTAATATAACAAGAGAGAAAGAAGCAGCCATATAACGTAAATTTTCTAATAGAAATGTAGAAACAATCGCCTCTCGTTTCGTCATCATGACAACCAAGATGACAACATTATGACAATTCGTCATGTTTTTTTAATTTTTCTTTTCGTGATTTACCTTTTTTCTAAACTCTCCATCTCCATTTTATTGACTTATGAATATGGATAGGGAACTAATTCCTTTGTTCCATATGGGTATTTAATATTTTGGTTACTTATAATTTTAGGTTTACTATTTGTTATTTATTTGCTGCAGGAGCCAGTATCATCTATTTTCTCATGCAATGGTACCGCCTTTCTCTGATAGATGTGTTAAAAGACACCCGGTAAAAGAAAAGTAAGTAGTTATATTTATCATCTTATTAAGAAAAAATAGAAAGTAGTATCGTGCGAGAGAGAGAGAGTTTCGAACCTCTCTTACAATTAACAAATTAATACAATTAATTTTTTTTTTTTTAAATTTTCACTTAAAGTTTATAGCTGGTTTATAGTAACCAAAACTTTATTAATATACCTATTTTACTTTGTTTTAGGATTAAAACTGGACTTGAAAATGGTTCAGGATCGTGATTCTCGTAAAGTCTTCCTTGCTTGGATATTCACTTAGTTATTGCAATTAGTCAGTTTTTCGAAATGAGAATTTTTAATGCCTTAAAAAAATTGGCCGGTCGTTTCATGCAACATCCAGTTCTTCTGTGCATTTAAAATTGGTAGGGGGGTGGAATAAACACTGTTATTTTTTGTTATTATATTATAAAAAAGTTTTTTTATTTTATTTTTATGTGATATAATAATATATGTTTAATTAATAACAGTACCAATTTTTGCTTTTTTTATAATTTCCCTTAAAATAGTAGTATACTTCGTCTAAAAAAACTGCAAATTTTCATTTAAACTGATTTATTCCTTATACCACGTTCCCTTTACGTGTTATAGGGGATAAATTAGTTTAAGTGAAAATTTTCAGTTTCAGAATCAAAGAATACTATAATAATGGCTAATTTAAATTTTCGGCCAGCCAGAATGTGCGATAATATCTTACGATACGTTTTATACCTATCTCTTTCTTTTTTATATAAAGCACACATAATAAAGAAAGATAGCAATAAAGACGTACCTCCTGCCATGGTCCTGCTAATTGGTTTCAATATTGTTATTCTGAGTTGCGCTACGGGAACGCGGTCCCACTTTTTACCATGGGATTTGTCAGTCTCTTTTTATTTGTTTGTCTATGGTTATAACCGAATTTTTCAGGAACCGTATTCCGTAATAAGGAAACTTTCAGGAAACCGATAGAAACGGAACATAAAACCATAACCAAGGTAAGCAACGGAATACACTAATAAATCATTTGAACTTTATGTTGAATTTGACTTAAGATTTAAGTCTTTTTAAAACTCTATTGTTGCAGCTCTGCGCACAACTCTACATACGGTATTTTAAAAACGAATATGGCCAAAAATAGGCCAAATAATACCGCAAAAAATATATTAAACAAGGTACGACTTCGAAAATCCGTCTTGGCGATGGAGGTATGCAAATCCCGTTAGATGGTCACATCGAACCGCGGCAACCCAGTACGACCACCGTCAGGAAAACAGTTCTTCGCAGCGGGTACCACCAAACAGGTGAAATTTACCGTGTTCAGTGACTCTATTTTTAACTTTTCGATTTTGTTTTGCGATACCTATTAGCGCAATTATTGGTGAAACATGAAGATTTGGTTGACAGTTATTGCGGTGAGTAGTACTCTCCTTGATAAAGATTGAGTTTGGTTTAAAATTAAATGAAAATTAAATGGCCTGAATTCAGAGTTAAGGTTGTGACCTACTGGTGAACAAGGATGTAAACAAAGCGTGATTGAAATTACCGTATACAAACGTATGATCAAAGTTTTTTGTAAAAGAACCTAAAACTAATCATATTAAAATGTTTGAACTAGCCTAACTCCTTAATTTTCTTTTGTTTTAATTTTTAAAATATATCTTAATTATCTTTTATCCGATTTTCATTATATTTTACCTGGCTTTATATTATTTCAATGAGTAACATTTTTTGTTTAGGCGTTATTATACAGGTATGAACAAACATTATAGATTGGTCATAATTTTAAATCACCCTGTAGGAAAATTAACACGGATTTTTCGATTAGAGGCTATGTTTTTTTTATAAATTTGGCATTGTTAATATCTACTTTGAGACTATGAACGTTTGCGAAAATATTCCTATTTTATATTTAATAGTCTGCATATTCATTTGTTGGAATATAAAGTCTAGATGTTTCACCAATATCAAATTTCGCGCGCACATTTTTTATTTGTTGCTCAGTGTTCATTGGTTTTGTATGTGTCAAAATCCTAGATCATATCTTTGAATAAGAAGACTAAGGAAGGAGCATAATGCTATCCATGTATTCATGCATGGTGGGCGGAAAAAGCGCCATAAAAGCACTCTAGGGTGGGGATCCTTGACAGTTCTGTTTGACGATTCATTTGACATATTTGAATTTGATTTGAAATTTTGTGGATTTGTCAGTCTTTACGAAGCTTATTTTATGTTATTTATTATTTATTCTACTACTGATAGTTGTATAAAGGTAGTAAATCTAGATGGAAATTGTGGCAGAACTTAAATTAACAGTGACACTATCGCGATTTATCGAAAAAGATTCTAAAATAGTTGGTTGTGTAGCGCGCGGTAGATCTGGGCAAAAATTGAGTGAAATAATGGAACAACTTTTCGCTAGTAAGTGACTATATAATATACATACGTGTAGTAAACCGATCATTTATGAAATTCACTTAAATTAACTAAATTATATATTTTTCTTGCATTTTAGCTTTTATTTATTACTTGTCAAAGATTAGATGTCAAAGAATTTAGATACGTTAATTTGACTATATTTGACTTACCTGCTTCAGTAGCGTATCGGATGTTTGCGGTAATAAATACTTATTATACAGTACGTCTGTCCGTTCTGTAGCTACGGGGTATCCGTGAGAGGGGAAACGATATTCTCTCGATGTTTTTCGTAAAAAAATAAACGACGCGTCCCATCAATAAAAATTCAACAAATTTGCAAGTAGCCAATAAAATGTCACTCGTCAAATCGACGTATAAAATATATTGCTGTTTATTTAAATGTTTTTTGTCCGCATTCCTTTCTTAGACACAGATCCAGCAGATGTACTGTAACTTATCTATTTTTATTAGAATTATATATTTTTATAACAATTTTAATAACTACCAACATTTATTCACAACGTAAAATAAAACAACAAATTATTGAGTCTACCCCACGTCTACCCTACATCATAGTTTTACATTTTTTAAATAAAATTAGAACGACACAGATAAACCGGAATTTAAGTCGGCCATATTTGAGGCCCATCAGGGTGTACCTAAGATTTTTGATATGCTCCTTCCTTAGTCTTCTTATTCAAAGGATCATATATACTTCAGTGGATAAGTAAATCACTATGGAAACTGTCGCAAACATATCAACGACTTCCATTTATCTTTTTTTTGTTACACAATCGAGGACCTAACTTTGAGTAAGAAGACTAAGGAAGGAGCATATCAAAAATCTTAGGTACACCGCGATAGGCCTCAAATATGGCCAACTTAAATTCCGGTTTAACAGTGTCGTTCTAATTTTATTTAAAAAATGTAAAACTATGATGTAGGGTAGACGTGGGGTAGACTCAATAATTTGTTGTTTTATTTTACGTTGTGAATAAATGTTGGTAGTTATTAAAATTGTTATAAAAATATATAATTCTAATAAAAATAGATAAGTTACAGTACATCTGCTGGATCTGTGTCTAAGAAAGGAATGCGGACAAAAAACATTTAAATAAACAGCAATATATTTTATACGTCGATTTGACGAGTGACATTTTATTGGCTACTTGCAAATTTGTTGAATTTTTATTGATGGGACGCGTCGTTTATTTTTTTACGAAAAACATCGAGAGAATATCGTTTCCCCTCTCACGGATACCCCGTAGCTACAGAACGGACAGACGTACTGTATAATAAGTATTTATTACCGCAAACATCCGATACGCTACTGAAGCAGGTAAGTCAAATATAGTCAAATTAACGTATCTAAATTCTTTGACATCTAATCTTTGACAAGTAATAAATAAAAGCTAAAATGCAAGAAAAATATATAATTTAGTTAATTTAAGTGAATTTCATAAATGATCGGTTTACTACACGTATGTATATTATATAGTCACTTACTAGCGAAAAGTTGTTCCATTATTTCACTCAATTTTTGCCCAGATCTACCGCGCGCTACACAACCAACTATTTTAGAATCTTTTTCGATAAATCGCGATAGTGTCACTGTTAATTTAAGTTCTGCCACAATTTCCATCTAGATTTACTACCTTTATACAACTATCAGTAGTAGAATAAATAATAAATAACATAAAATAAGCTCCGTAAAGACTGACAAATCCACAAAATTTCAAATCAAATTCAAATGTGTCAAATGAATCGTCAAACAGAACTGTCAAGGATCCCCACCCTAGAGTGCTTTTATGGCGCTTTTTCCGCCCACCATGCATGAATACATGGATAGCATTATGCTCCTTCCTTAGTCTTCTTATTCAAACGTCCACGCGCCAAATCTGAATATTCATTTTAAAAATTTAATGTATAAATTGCATATATTTGAACATTAAATTAAATGTTTACAGTCACAAAAATTAAATTATATAAAAAATACATTTAGCCACTCCGTATAATATTAATATTCTTAGGAAATCTAGCCAGAAAGTATCCATATCTGGTTTAATATAAATAAAAGAACAACTGAATACTTTACTTGCCTATGAAAAGGTAATTCGGAGACCTTTATATTATAACTTCCACACACCAAACACTTTCTAGTCATTTTTACGAGTATATAGGAAGTCCAACGAAAAAAAAAATAGAAATATCTTCTTCTTGTTTTACGATGACCACAAATAGAAATATAATTTGTACAGACTTAAAATTAACTTCTTACTAAACACTTTTGCCATCCTTGGCTATATAAAAGCGGTCGATAAAAGATAATACATGGGCGCAATGTAAGGTCCTCGGAAAAGGCAAACCTATTAAAGTTTCATAAATGCAATAAAGACGGTTTGAAAATGGCATGTCGTGATGTTGGAGACATATTTTTTAATGCTAAACTTATGGCGTTGATTTATCCACGTAAGTATATACCGTGCTGGCAACTGTTACTTTTATGTCGGTATTTACATGTGTGGAAGTAAATTTTAATAAATTTTTTAATAAACGTTTAATGCTTATGGTGTTGATTTAGCCACTTATACAGTAAGTATATAAATATGATCTAGGGTGAAAATCGAACTAAGTATATTTTGTGTATTTTTCTGCTGTAACAACACAACGTTACTTTCGCAGTTTTTTAAGTGTGAATTTTTAGAAGTGTGACACTTGCACTGATGCTCTAATATTTTTTACAAATTACATAAACATAGTATTTTTAAAATACAAGAGTTGTCTTTTAAATGTTGCATACAGAAGTAGAAAAAAAAACAGTAGGTAACTTTTAAACACATAACGGCATGAATTTTTTTTTGAATTGAGGTCTTTGAAATAGCCAATGATAACCGAGGCAAGGCATTCTTGTTGGGACAACTGTCTTCGAAAATTGTAAAGAATATGTCGAAACCATATTAAAGCATATACCTAATAAGAAATTTCTCCTTAAAAATGACTTCTTTGAGCTGTTTTTTGCATATTTATAAAACCAATTACTGCGAGCTTGGTATAAACGAGCTTTATACCAAATTTATACAGGGTGTTTCAAAACAAATGCGAACAACTTCAGGGGGTGATTCCTTGTTCAAAATAAAGGGTAGTTTGCTTCATAAACGTTGGGTCAAAAGTCAACCATTAGGGAGATATCGCGGTACAAAGATGGCGGAAAAATAATGTTCTTATTTTTTATCTTGAAAACGAAAAGAGATGACTAATGAAATTTTATGGAAGCATTACTGTTATGAAAACACACTCTCTGGTAATTTTTTCACTTTTTTAAAATGAGTGGAAGGGGTTGAAATAAACTACCCCTATCATTCTTGTTAACGAAATTTAAAGAAAAATCTTATCAAACGCATGCAAAAAAATTAATTTGGATAGTTTAGTTTGTTTAGAAACTTTTTTATCTCTTGTATTTTTTTTACAAAACTCACCGATTTGAAATTAAAAAATAAAATGTAAAGCATTACATGTCAGGACTAAAAATATTTTTAGATTAAGAATCTGGTGATAATAATGATAATAATAATAATCTAGATAATAACGTATTGCAGTAGGGTAATGTCAAATAAAACAATATTAGAAACATCCTAAAAAGTGACAGCGGCCGACTAGATTTTTTCCTAAAAAAATTACAGCTTCCCACTAGATTCCTTGAAATGTTTTTTGTCCTGACATGTAATGCTTTACATTTTATTTTTTAATTTCAAATCGGTGAGTTTTATCAAAAAAACACAAGAGATAAAAAAGTTTCTAAATAAACTAAACTATAACAATTAATTTTTTTTGCATGTGTTTGATAAGATTTTCTTTAAATTTCATTAACAAGAATGATAGGGGTAGTTTATTTCAACCCCTTCCACTCATTCTAAAAAAGTGAAAAAATTACCAGAAAGTGTGTTTTCATAACAGTAATGCTTCCGTAAAATTTCATTAGTCTATCTCTTTTCGTTTT